AAAAAAAAAAAAAAAATAGAAAAGGGGGCAAGAAAGAAGCTCTTAGATTTGCAACACATTGCAAAGCCGGGGAGCACCCCGCCTCGTCCGATCTCAGTGCCCTGCAAGACCCTTCCGGGTTTTAGAGCGAGCCTCTCGGCCTCAGCGTCCCTCACCTCTGCCGCGCTTAGGATTCGAGGCGTCCAAGCAAAAAGTTCTCCCCCTGGGCCGTAGCAAAGGGTGCTAGGGTGAGAGTTGGGGCGGGGGGGTCTTGAGAAGCAGCAGCCATTCCTCCCACCCTGGCTTCGGCAGCTGGGCCAGAATGGGTGTGGAGGGCAAAATCCAGACAGGTTTGCGCGAAGGGGCTTCCGGGGCGAAATCGGAGCCGGGAGGCCGCGCTTAGCGCATCTCCCCTCGGTCTCAGCCAGCTCCCTTTAATTTTTTTCCCTCTCCTTTAATCTAATTTCTTCCAACTCCACCTTTGTTGTTACCGGCGTCACGCCGGGACCAGCCAATCCCCGCCACGCAATCAGCTTGTCAAAAAGGCTCGGCCAGCCCTGGGAAAGAAGGCCGCGGGCGCTGCCCCCTCCCCACCCCACCCCCGGCGGCGGCGGGGAGCCGTGAGGGGAGCCTGGCACCCGGGCCTCGCCGCCGCCGGAGCCGCGGAGGGGCAGCCTCCACGGAGGCCGCCGAACTCCACCACCCTGTAGGCCGGGATCGACAGGCCTGGGCGGGGACCTCCATCCACCCTCCCACTGCGGTCCGCCGTGGTCGTGTGTCTCGGGCTCCCCTTCTCAGAGGAAGGATTATCCGGACGCTGGGAGCCACAGACTGTGGAGAGCGCTCGCTTCCAATAGGCGCGCTGCGCCTCGGTGAGGGCCACCGCTCCCCGGGCCGCGCCATTGCTCGGGTCCCCCACGCCGCGGGGCTCCCACAGCAGCGCTCCCACTGCGGGCATCTGGGCCTCGGGTTGCCAGCCCCTCTGGGCTCCCCCTGACACACAGCTTTCTCTGTCCCCCCCCACAGCGGCTCTGCCGCTGTTGTAATTCCTTTTGTCTCCTGGGAGAAATGAGATTCCTTTCCCAGGACTTCCACAGCCCACATCTGCCACGTTTCACACACAGGGAGGAAAAAGCCCTGTCAAGACCTGGCGTGTCCAGATTTCTTAGTGGGCAGGGCATGTCGGAAAGGCCTAGTCACCTTGATGCTAATGAAGTTTAAGCTCCAGGGCCCCTCATTTGCAGGGGCCCTGCAAGACCCTGTCCTTAAATTTGATTCATTAATTGGGGTTGTTCAGGGGACCCCCAAACTGTACAAATTCCGAAACCACAAAGCCAACTCGGTCCTTAGGACACACGGGGCATATTTTATAGGTCAAGCCATTTCACACTCCTTAGAGGATTCAGGGACTGATTTTCTGGTTGTCACTGGTTACCCAGAGAAACGGATTTAGAGCCAGCCTCCCAGCTTCTCATCTTCCGCTCCGCTCGCCCAACCTTCTTAAATATTGTGAGTTGGAGCAATTCTCATAACTTCACCTCACTTCATTTTCCTAATTTGTAAAAGAAATAATGGCAACCCTAGGTTCTCTGATTTCTTTACCAGGGGTTGGAGGTCAAGTGAGATAATGCGTGTAAAATTGTCATTACTCCAAAAAATGTCACTGGCCCCAACAGTGGGAGAAACTGAGAACCTAAGAAAGTTCCAAATCTTCCACTTACAGATCTGGAGTCCAGGTGCCCTGGCTCATGGCCCTGAATTTCTTGGCTGAGCCAAAAGGCCTTTTGGTAAAGTGCTTTGGAATAAAACAGGACGGACATGAATCATAAGAATGATTATTATTGATTTTTCATTCCTTGGGTAGCAAAATCATGGCTGGCATTCTTCCCACTTGGAAACCCACTGGCTTGTTTTACATTTATTGCGGCTCTGGTGAGGTCAAGAGCCCAGGACTTGAGCTATGGGCCAGAGCCTGAGGGAATCTGCCCTTGGCCTTTTTTTTTTTTTTCCCCTCTACCAATCAATTCATTACCCCCTTCCTTCCAGTTTTCTGCTCTGTTCTTTGAAGCAGAGCCTTGGCATTCCCCAACACTAGCCCAGGTTGGTAACAAGAACTAATCCTAGCTACACACTTCCTTCTGAGCCCCAGCCCTTCCCTGGGTCAGCTCATATAAAACCCCTAGAGTGTCTGGAATGCATTAACCAAAGTGTGACATTTGAATTCCTGGTATACACAGAATAATTTTAGATGGTATAGAGACCAACATATTCTTTTCAGAGTTCTATATTCCATGTGTATTGGTCTTTTTTTTTTATTTAAGATAGTGATATAAAGACTATTTTTTTGAGTTACTGTACTTTACTCTTTTGTTTTTAGCAGGATATAACTTATATTGATAGGTAGTAAAATGCATACATCTTAAGTGTACAACTTGATGAAATTTTAAATATGTATACATAGTAAAATGTTACATATATATACATCATGTAACTTCCATCCAGATCGAAATACTATTTCTAGCATCTAACAAACTCACTCAAACTCAAAATTTTCCAAATGTCACCAGGCTACTGAGCTTTTGCCATTCATAAGTTTCACCTCTTTTTGGTGTTCATATATGTGCAGTTATATGTAGTATATTCTCTTTTACACCAGACCTCTATCTCTCAACATTATGTTTGCGATTAATTTATGACATTGCAGGTAGTAATGGGTCATTCTTTTTCCTTGTGGTGTAATAGTCCATTGTAGAAGTTTACCACAATTTATCCTTTTTATTCCTAATGTGTATTTGTTTTTTTCCCAGTTTTTCACTAACATGAATAAAGCTGCTTCAAACATTTGTGTGCATCTCTTGAGGGAAATATGCATTCATTCCTCCTGGTGTATTTCCAGAAGTATAACACTTTATATCATAGGATATAAATATATTAATAGATAGTCCCAATTGATTTTCCAAAATAAATCTAACAAAATACTCCCTACTCTGAGTGTATACACATTCCAGTTTCTCCACATCTTCACCAATACCTTGTGTGATATGAAATCTCACTGTGGTTTTAATTTGCTTTTCCCTGATAATGAGTGATTTTGAGTAACTTTTCATGTACAAAGTCTCATTTTAAGATCCTTTCAGGTTTTAAGAGGGAATCAGCGAAAAAGAAGAAGTAACTAATAATATCAGTGGTACACATATCTGGCAAAGATCATTAAGGTGATGTGTGAATGAAGCTAAGAAAACTCCTATCGATGCATGCTCCAATATAGTGACCACTAGCCCTCTATAGCTATTTAGACTTAAATTAATTAACATCAAGTAAAATTGAGAACTCACTTTGTCACAGTCGCTACATTTCAACGGCTCCATAGCCATATATGTCTAGTGGCTGCCTTACTGCACAGGAGAAGTATAGACCATTCCCATGACCAAAAAAATCTACTGGACAATGATACTCTGTAGAAAAATGTTATAGGTAGTGACTGAGTATGGGCAACTGTCAGCCTTGAAACCCAGTTACTCTAAGCATCAAGGTCAGTAGCCCAACTTCAGCTTTAGTTTAGGATTTGATCCTGATTTTGGTGTGCTATAGTGAAGGCAGGAGTGCCATGTTCACAGTCAAGAAGCTAGATTCCTGTGCTCACTTTGTCTCTAGCTTCCTGTGTGTCCTGTAGTGGCCTCCCCTAGGCCAGGTAGACAATTTCCTGAGGATTGTATTTGAGATCAGGGACTGCAAGGGTCCTTGATGGGAGGTAAATAGGTATAAATAGAAGGTAGAAGTGGGGGAGAGTAAACTGTATCCACCTGGCACCCACTGAGAAGACTACACATGGTCCTGAAGGTTGAATAGGAGTCCGCCAGGAAGGGAACTGGGGGAGAGAGAAAGGAGAGGTAAATCACAGGAAATAAAGGGGTGATTTGAGGTTGTATAGTATGAGGGGATATTGGAAGGTGGAGGAAAGATCAACTGAAGTCAGCCAAGGGGTACATTGAGTCTAAAGTTTTAAAAGTTTGTCTAATAGGCAACAAGGGATCATGGATGCTTCCTCAGTAGGAGAATCACATAATCCAAGTTAAATCTGAGAAAGATATTGCAGGTGCTGATGAGAAAAATGACAATAAATAAAAGTGGCAGGTGACATTGACCCTTACCTGCTGACATGAGACCTGTTGTCATTCCTCTACATGAGAGAATTGAGGCTTAGAAAGAGCCAGAGAGGGAATTTGATCCCATGTTAAATGGATCCAGAGCTTAAACCAAGATTTCAGTAATAAAAGCAACATGAAGAACTGTGTGGCTACTATTTATCAGAAGTATTTTTTTTTTAATGGTTCTGGCATAGGGCCTCCCTGGTGGTGCAAAGGATTAAGTCTCAGCTCAGCACTATGAAGTTGTCTGCAGTCCCTGCAGCACAAGTTCAGTCCCTGGCCAGGGAGTTGACCACATGGCATGGCAGACCTCTCCTGTCTCCCCCAGCAATGGATTTCAGTAGATCCACTGTTCTGTTCCACCATGTCTCTGGTGAAGCCTCTCATGATCTCTACCCTCTTGTACCTCTGGCCTACACACCCAGCTCTTGTATGCATAAATAAATAAAATAAATATTAAAAAAATTAGTTCTGGCATAATGTACGTATAGCAAAAGTCACCCATTTTTAGTGTCCATATCTTCCAATTTTGACAAATACCATCAGGTAATTACCACCACAATCAAAATATTGAACAATTCTCCCCCCAGATTCTTCTGTGCCATTTTGTTGAAAATCCTTCCTTTACTCAGTTTCAGATCTGTTTGCTGTCTACATAGTTTCTCTTTGCTAGAATGTTGGATAATTTTGATATCATATGTAGCTTTTGGAGTCTGGGTTCTACCAAGTATGGCCGGTACC